ATATCTTAAAGCTAGAAGTGACAAGGTATTAATAAGAAATAAAACAAGAAAACTGGTACATTTTGCAGACCTAGTTCTGTCATCTTATCCATGGCTTTCATTCTGTATTTATAGCTTCTGGTGTATTGATCTGTTAAGAAGAAAATGGCTGATCAGGAAGATGCATGCATAATGAAGCATTTGTGAATCTCCTTTACACTCATCACCCTTAGTATAAAGCTTAACAGTCCCTAGAGAAACCTCATTCAAAATGGATGAGGCTCATAATTGAGAGGAATCACCAAAGGGTGTTGATGCTTTGCAATGCAAGGCTTTCCAATTGACCTTATCCAGAAATGAAATCATGAGATGGCAATGCATCCAAGGCTAACAGTAGCAGTGAGGTTTCTGCTACAATATCTCCTGTTTCTACTCTTGCAAGAGAGTTTGAGTAAGTTTAGGCCTATAATTTTATGAACCTATGATTTGTGTTTATGCCATCTGAGTGAGAACATGTCTGACAGGCACAGTACATATGCGAAGGCCTGAAATTGGCGTTGTAGTCCACTAACCCCATGCAGATTGATGATTGTTGGTGGCAGAATTTTCTTGAAACAAAAAATAGCACTTACAGCCTGTAAAAAAAGAATATCTACACAATATTCATGGTACTAACCTGAAGGAGAATCAAAGTTGGATGTACCATCTGCAGGTTTGTTGAATTGTTCCGATAACATCCTAGGTTCCATTCTTAACTGGGAAATTCTTTGCAAATGAGCAGTGATCTCTCTTCCCAAATTCTGAGGAGAAAAATTCAATTTTATTTGGTTAACCCTTTAAACCCTAAGAGTGACCAGTATCTAGTTTCTCCAGACAATTAAACTGCTGAATCATTCATTTTAGTTAATGAGAATAATGGAAATGATTATCAACCAACAAAGCCCTTGATTGTTAAACAAATTATCCTTGTCAGCACCTTAGGAAATCTGTAGATAATAGTATGAAAACTGTGCATACTGATGTTAGGGTGTAATGGGTTAAAGAACCAAATAGCAAAGCTGAGCTTGCAATCCAGTTCATTAGTAAATATTAGCATGTTAATGTTGCTAATAATGATGTATATGTATTATCATTTATCTCAGAAGGGTCTCAAATCCAAAGTAGATTCCACCATTTCAATGGCAGACTGCCAGTCTAGTCTCCTTTAGGTGGTGAGGTGGTCTGATTATGTGTCACTTTCTGAAGCATTATTCTTCTCTGTGTTTGGTTGGTTTTAAACAACTGTAATTGACCCATTTCAAAGACTTATTGTCCAACATCATCAAAGATCACTGTACTGTAGCTTACCCTGGGTGCATCACTACCAACAGGGGAGTGTGGTCCTCTTTTTGAAAGTAGCAACATCCTCAGCATTTGCCGCTTCACAATTATCGCAATGAGCAGTACAACCTTTGTAAATTTAAAAAAGAAAAAAAAATGAAAATCTGATTTTATTGAAGGTCGAGGGGATACCATATGATACCATTTTAACCAACATACCGATAAGGTGAAAATAATGGTCATCACAAGCCCAACACCACCAAGGTTTTTCAGTAGTTTGGCATCGTAACTGCTCACAGGATCCGCCATGTTCAATCTTCTCTTCACGCCTTTAAACGGCTTACGACAAATCTCCACGTTCTTTTGAAAAACCTTGCAAATAGTTTGAACTATAATTAGCTCAACATTTTAAGCATCGCGATGACTACTCATGTAAATCACCAAATTTCAGCTAAATAAGAATGCTTAGCTGGGAAGTTCCTGAGAAGTAACTTTCATCAGAGTAACTTGCTCGCGATACTGTATGTTACGGACAGCGGATTATAATGGTTTAGCGGTAGGTACGTCATGTATGGGCACAGCCAAGCACAATGTTCAAGATGGCGAGCGACTGATCTGGAGGAATCTTCCCACTAAAATCGATGATCTCAATATGGCAGAGAGGAAACTTACAGATGCACAAAAGGCTCGTATTGAGAGGAATCGCCAAAGGGCGTTGATGCTTCGCAATGCAAGGCTTTCCAATCGACCTTATCCAGAAATGAAATTGCGAGATGGCGATGCATCCAAGGCTAACAGTAGCAGTGAGGCCCCTGCGACAATATCTCGTGTTGTTGATACAGGGGGTGGGTTTTTATTAGACCCGGAGGAAGATGAAAGCCAAGGAGAGAGAAATAATCTTGTTAGAGAACCAGGTCAGTTCATAGAGCGGAGAGTAGGCCTGAAGACGAAGGGTCGTAAAATCTTACGTAATGTATTCCAGTATACATTTTTTTTCGTATTTTAACCAATGTTGGTTTATTTTGTACTATCGTTTAGTGTCCTCAATGATTTCTGTCGGGCTAAATACCTTGGCAACCAAATTAAGATTCTTATTTACCCTCGCGTTGGGGTGTAGGAGTGGGGGGGAGGGGGTTGAAATTTTCATGCCCCTTTGGACCCCCCCTGAGGTTACCTCTTAATAAACTGATTTCTTAGAGGATCAAAATAGATCTACATCCATAAGAGACTGCAGAGCAGTTATCACTTCTACTGTGTTTATAATTAAAGTGAGGTTTATTTTGATTCCATCAAAACAGCACCCATTCTCTATGGAGATCAGCTGCATTGCCTTGAATGCCAAAAAGAATTCCTGACATCATACATCTACAAATACTTCGAGGTTTATGTTTGTGATAAATGTAGGTAGGTGGAGTAATTTATTTAGAGCTTTCTTGGCTATGAATTCCTTCTAGAATCCTTTTGCGGTATTAAGTAGCATTTTTGAGTAATTTCTAACATACTGTTCTCTTTTGTAGAGACCCTGATGAAAAGCATTCACTAATAACAAAGACAGAAGCTAAGGAGGTGTGGATCTGTTTAATTTTCAACAAAATTTACAAAAGGATTTCTAAGTATTCTATAAACAGATATTTACACAAAAACTCTTACAGGTGTTATTGCTGTAAATGCTATAAATTAACAAAAACTGATAGGTTTTAGGTCGACCCTCTAACCGTAAGGGTCTCTAGCATCTTATTTCTCACTAAGGTATCACTGCTGAATCCAACATTAGGCTCATGAGAATTAAGGAAATGATCACAAACTTAAAGGAGCTATTGATTATTAACTTGACTCCCTCATCCATGCCATAGGAAATGTATTAAGAACAACATGAAGGAAATAAGGAATTCAGGTTGAGACTATTTCAAACTAGGGGGTAAGTTTCTAAAGAAACTGTGGTGCTAAGTCAGTGGGGGAGTATAACAGGGTAGATATAGTATTATCAACTTA